CATATCATACTCTTCAATCAGCTTTTGTTTGCAATTTCTAAATGCAATTGTTGACTCTTCCAAGTTAATTTCCAAATTTTGACTAATTATCTTTTCCTCTTTTAAAGATTCTTTCAAATCACTGTTTTCATTTCTAAGTGACAAAATTTCCCTTTTTAAAGATGCATTTTTTGCACTAAATTGTTTAGTATGCTCATATAATTCACTAAATGCATCTTGCAAATCTTCATATGGCATTTCATCATCACTAGCATGATCAAAATTAGAAGAAGAGATGGAATTTACCTCATCTACGTCATCATTTGCCATGAGACAAATATGAGCTTCCATGTCACTTACTTCTTCACTAGAAGATGAGCCCTCACTGCAGCTCCATGTGGCAACCATTGCCTTCTTTTTCTTTTTGGCTTTTAGACTTTTTTCATCATTGTTTGGACACTCAGATTTGATATGTCCAGCCTTCTTGCATTTGTAGCAGATAATTTCATCCTTTTTACTGCTTTCTCCCTTTCCTTTACTGTTTTTGTAAATTTTCTTTTGTTGTCCTTGATTCTTCAGCTTGTTTTTCCTTAGGAAACTCTTAAACTTTCGAGCAAGCACTATAAATTCTTCATCATCCTCTTCATCACTGTCACTTTCATCTTTGGAGGAGCTTTTGAAAGCTACAGTTTTTTTTTTCCCGAGAATCATCATCACTTTCATAATTTTTCATGGCCATTTCATGTGTAAGGAGCTTCCCCTGCAGCATCTCAACAGTCATGGCACTTAAATCATGAGCTTCTTCTATTGTTGTCTTGATTGAATTCCAGGATTTTGGCAAGGAGCGAAGAATTTTTCTGACCTTGTCTTCCTCCGGAAGCACCCTATCAAAAAGCTTTAATTCATTAGTGATTTTGGTAAAACGAGTAAACATATCTTTAATTTCTTCATCTGATTTCATTTTGAACAGCTCATATTTTTGAACTAACATGTTAATTTTTGATTTCTTGACTTCATTAGTTCCTTCATGAGCCACTTGTAATTTATCCCACATTTCCTTAGCAGAATCACATGCACTAATTCTATCATATTCACTAG